CCACATTCTTATGCAACCACTTTGCAGTATGGACCCTGCTCCTACAGCTGAGCCAGAACCACTTCTTCAAAGTTCCCTGATTTCACTAGTTCACTTAGAGGGCTTGGCTGGGGCAACTGCAAGTCCAAGAAAGAGGTGCTCTCTCTCCACAGTCCTCCTCAAAATCCACTGAAAGTCCTCCCTTGACTTGCTGTTACTCTACTGTCCAGACTCTCCTCTACCTTCCCCTGCTCACAGGCTCTGCCCTCAACCCTCTCCTCTCCTCCCTTGACCACATTGCTCACCTCCACAGCTTAAACCATCATCTCTGTGGGATCGACTCTATTATTTCCTCTCCAACCCACTCACAGGCTCCCAGCTGACTTGGGCATCTGCCCTCAGATAACTCAGGAAACTCAAATATACTATGTCCACAAACACCTCCTCTTTCAAATACTACCACCAGCCTCCACCCCTTGGGATCCATCCCTCACCCTCCATTACCTGGTCCTTTCCCACTTCCTACTTCCAATGCCATTTGCAAGGTTCAAGCTCTCCTTCAAAAGGGCTGAGCACAGGGCCCTGAGAGCATAAACTATGAGCTACTATAAGAAATAATTACTGTTTGACTTGACCATTCCTCACTCACTCAGCAGTGATTTATTGAGCTATCTGTACCAGGCACTACTGTTCAAGCAGCTGGGGATACTACATTGGACAAGAGGCAAATTCCTTGACCTCCAGGAGATTACATCCTCGTAAGGACAAACAAACAGTAATTTAAACAAACAAACAAATACAGGATGTCAGAGTGCTATGGAAAAGGTAAAGCAGAGTATGGATAGTGTTAGCTGGTTTGCTCTTTTATATGAGATGGTCTGGGAAGCCTCATCTATAAGCCCCTTCTTCCCAAAAAAGATGCATGACTGCTGTGGGCTGAAGTCAGCCACCAAGGTCAAGAAGAACACAACTAACACATCCAGGAAGATACAGCCTCAGTCTTGGGAATAAAAATCCAGACTTTTATTTTTAAATCCTTTAAATTGGAAACACTGGTTGCTACCAGGAATGGGAACTGGATGGTTGGGGATGCAGGGTGTGAGTCTTTTGCTAAAAAGTCTTTTGTTCTCCTGAAGTTTGAACTACATAAATATGTCTCCTACTTAAAACAAGAAGTTGTTAAAACAGTAAAGAATTTAAACAGTTTTTTGGAAAGGACTGATCATTTTCATCAAGTGACTTCCCCAAGGAGGTTTGCTTTCAAATCTGCCAACTTCTGCCAGAACCCTGCAGATGTGGAATCCTCCACAGTTCCTGAGAGGGCAGCCTCAACCTTGAGGACAGTCATTCAACAACCTTCTTGGAGCATCCACCAACCATATGCTGGTGTCCAAATGTGTGTGGACAGCAGGCTGGCAGTGACCATACAGAGACAGGCGCCCTTTTAGTGACAGAGCAGGAGACTTGGGATGCTGAAAATCAAGATGCTTGTCAGGAACAGATAAGCCCCTCTGTGTCTGTCTCATTCTTTTTTTTTTTTTTTAACATTGTATTATACTTTAGGTGAAAATTTACATAACAAATTAGTTTTACCGTCAATCATTCATACACAAAATATCCTTTGACCTTGGTTGCAACCCCTACAATACATCAGGACTATCCCCATTTCCTCCCTGGTTTTCCTACTTCCATTCATCTGGTTTTCCTGTCCCTCCCTGCTTTCTCATCTTTAGTTTTGGGCAAAAGTAGCACTTTTGGTCTCCTACAGTTGCTTGTTCTGAAGAGCACAGTCTTCACAGGTGTTACTGTTCCTTTTATAGACCTGTCTACTATTTGGCTGAGGTGGCCTCCAGGAGTGTCTGAAGTTTCAAGTTAGAAGGTTGTATTAGGGCAATAATCTCAGGAGTTCCTCCAGTGTCTTTCAGACTAGTAAGACTGGCTTTTTTCTAATTTGAAGTTTGTTCACATTTACCCATTCTAACTGGGGTCTTCTGTTGTGGTCCAGGTCAGCATGGACTGTAGTGGTAGCTGGGCACTATCTAGTTCTTTTGGTCTTAGGGCAGAGGAGGCTGTGGTTTATGTAGACCATTAATTCCTTTGACAAATTGCTTCCTTGAGGCTTTGGTTTTTTTTTCATTCTCTTTGCTCCAGGTGGAAGAAAGAGACCAGTAGTCTGTCTCATTCTTAAGTGGTTCTCTATCTTGGCTACTGCTGAGCCTGGAATTAGGTTCCACTCCTGATCTAGATCTTCACAGCCCACTCACTGCTGCATCCTATTTGGAAACCGTGAGAAGATGGTCAACAAGTTGAGCTTAGCCAGCAGCCTGGCAGTGCAGCACCTGCCATGGCCACAGCAGGTGGGCTGTTTGGGGCTGGCCCAGCAGGGCCTGAGAAGGTCATCCTGGAGTGGGAAATGAATGGTTATTATCAGCCTGCCATGTCCCAGCTATCTAAGCCCTCTGTCAGAGATCTGCAGGATCGTTTCCTTCTTTCAATCTCCAGTGCCGGGAACGGAGGTTGGCCCTCAACAGGCACTGGGAAAGTGCATAATGGATGAATTTTAGATTTTCATTAGTGGCAGTGAGCACTGAAAACCCAATACTCTATACCACCTCAGGAAATCCTCAGTGCAAATCACCCAGGGCCAATGACTCCCAAAGGAAACTGATGCCCAGCCCCTATTTTCGTCACTCATACCTCTCAGCAGCAAAATCTGTATCTTCTCCGTAAAAGGCTGATGAGGATTTCTTCTTAATCAACTAAAAAGAAAGGTGTTTATGGCTTTGTTGACAGCAAGCAAGAAAGCTAGTTGGATCTGCAGGCAATCTCAAGTGGTTAATGAATAATTATTGTGGTCTGTCCAAGGGATTGGATTTTCCATACAAAAAAGCCAGGCTAAAGTTTTATGCCATTTTAGGAGGCATGTGAGGGGTGCTGTCTGATACCCACTGTTGGATTCCATAGGATTAGTCAATGGTTTCTGGAACCATGGGTTTCTGGTAGACTAAACCTCTGAAATTAAGACTATCCCAGGAAAGCCAAGATATGTAGCTGTTCTTCTGTAATGCACTACACCACAAAACAAGTGAACTGAGGAAAAGTGCTTAGTTCTAGTTTGTGATCCTTAACCTAACACTCAGTCCTCCCCTCCCCCCCGCCCCCCGTTTCGGTTTCCTCATCAGTTAGTTGGAGGCATGCAGAGGATTCCTCCAGCTCTTACACTTTGTCATGCTGGCTGTCACTAGCTGCCTTCAAAACCAAGCCTCGTTTATGGTTTGCAAGAAGCTACTTAGTCTCTTTGAGACTCAGCTTCCTTATCTATATTTAAAAAAAAAAAAAAAGATAAAATTTGGAGAGGAAATGTTGAGCAGTGGTTAAAAAAAAAAAAAGAGACAGTCAGCCAGATAGCCCCAAATCTTTCTTCATTTACTTAATGTCTGTTTTAAGGATTAAATAAGATAAAAGACCTGCTCTGCCACCTTGCAGTAAGTGGAAATAAACAGTGGTTTCCTTCCTTTCTTCCTATTTCATTTTCAGCAAACATGAGAGAGATGTAAATGTATTGAAATGTCTATCAAAGAAAAGGTAAACCCTTTGTAAGAGTGAGATCAGGGGTTTTGACATCACATCTCTTCACCTACATTTCCTTCTTCCAACACAAGGTTACCTCTGACCAACACTACCTGATCCCTAAACTCATCAGAGAGCACTGGAAGACTGAGGACAAGAGGCTGCAGGGAGACACGGGCTTGAACCACAGGAAGCACTGCTCAAAAATGGAAAAAGATGTGGCCCTGACACACGGTTGACCTTGTTGGACACCACCTCAGACCTACTCTGTGGCAGCATTAGGGGGCCTGAGGTTAGAGTCTAGCTTCTGGGCAGCCAGCACAAGATCCCCAGGCAAGGAAGCTTTAGCGTGAAGGTGCAGTCAGCCCCCTAATTCCAAGGCAGCTCAACACCATTACCTGAGACCTGGCCTAGGAGGCAGTGTGGGAGTAAGCAGTCCTACTCTGAGGAACAAATTTTAGCTCTAAATTAATCACAGGAAGAAAGACTTTTATCACACGTACACATTTACAGGTCTCCAAAGCCCTGGGAGAACGTCACCTGAGAGGAACAGGGCATGCCCACAAGCAGAGCTCAGGGAGGGGCCCTTTTCACACTGGAGAAAAGATGCAGTGCCGCTACCAGTCCCGGCCAGCATGCTTCCCGGGCCCTGACCATCCTGTGCCACGCCCTGAACAGCTGACCCCAGCTCTGGCTCACGTTCCAGAAGCCTTTTGGGAGTGGCCAGTAGGTTTCCTCAACAGTGGAGACTCATCTCTCATAACACCGCAACTGAACTTTCAGCTCCCTGTGAGGAAAATGTATTTTAAACCTGGAGAGAGTCATAATCTGAGATGTTTCATGTGTTGTCATCTTTATCTCCAATAGCAGACACAGGGCCTCTCACATTTAACAGAGAAACCTCTGTCTGTGCTGAGATGGCTGTGTGTGTATGTGTGCACACGTGCATGTGCACGTGCTCCATTAGCAGACATGTGGTAGGCATGCACCCAGTTCATGATTTGGATTGTGTTCTGCACATAAACACCTGTGAAAACAGAGCTGGGACTATGCCAGTGGGGAAAGTCTATTCCTCAGGAGGTGGTAACCAGAAAGCTTGGTTATAGAAAAGGATTCTGGGTATAAACACCCTAGTGGAGGTGACTCTGGTTCTTATAACATCCAGCCCTTGCTTGCCATGCACCATACCCCCAAATATGAAAGGTCAGCCCTTTCCCACCTACAGTACCTGGCCAGCAAAAGGAAAGGCTACAGGACCTCAGAAGCCTTGTGGTGCAAAGGGTAAAGACTCTAGTCAGATAATGTGCACTATCCTAGTAGTGAAGTTCTCAGAAACAGGTGGGCCAATCCAGTCACCAATCTCTGGGAGTGGCTGCATGCAGGAAGGAGATAAGGGGTCCAAGTAGCTTGAACTCTCTCATTGCCCACAAGGAAGCTGAGGCCTTCCTTCTCATCTGCAGTGGCCATAGGTATCAGAGAAGGTCATGGCTGCACATGTGAGAATATAGTATTAACCCTTCCCTACTCCATGCCAAATGGTAAAGGGTCAGGAAGGATCCTGAGGTTTGATTCTTCTAAGGCTCAAAATGGGTTCTCTTTCAGGACTTGCTTGGCTTCGCTTGTTTTCAGGATTCAGTTCAGCCCAAGCCTCAACCTTCAGACAAACTGGGACAGGTTGGGGACTTTGATGTTGAGATCGCCAATGTTGATGTTCCGAGGAATCTCAGGCAGATTGAGGTTTTTCACAGCAGACACAGCCCTGGCAGGGGCTGCTGAGAGGCCGCCCTGGGGAGAAGCAAGAGGTGGGTATGAGACAAATTCTCAGCATCATCTGATTACTATGTAAGAAAAACAGGGGTCCTGTAAAAAGTCCAAACTGAGCACACACAATCAAATTTTGCTTTTCCCTCCTTATTTCTCAAAGGCAGGCAGACAAAACAGTAAAGGTAAAAACGGAAGTAAAGACAAAACAGCCTTAACGTTAGATGGGCACCACTGCACCAGTATCTACACTCTACTCTCCTCAAGGGTGTGGCCTGTGTTTCATGCAGTTTTATAGCCTCAGCATCAACAGTGCCTGGTAGGGGCTCAACAAATGCTTGCTGAAATAACCTGTAATGGTTTACCCAAGTCATACTAAGTATCTGAGTGCTTCTCAGGATATGAAACAAAACAGAATAAAAGAAAACAGAAAAGCCCTTTTCTCAAGAGACTAAAGACAAATAAAAAGCCACAGAGAAATTCTTAAAAGGAAAAGGAATGTCAGAGCTCCAAGGCAACTGATGGCCAATTTGAGATGGAAAAGAACTGGCTTTGGAAATGTCATGTGGCCACAAGATGGAAGGCAAGGACTTGCAGGAGGTGAGTGTACCTACAGTCATGGAAGGACTGGTAGCAAAAGAGAGGTAAACCTTCAGGTTTATGCTCAGTGTGTGCAGAGCAAGGGAGAAGCTGACAAAGACTCACAAAATCATTATCCCCACCCGCCCCGACTACTTTCAGGATACTGACTCCAGTTCCACCCTCATCCTGCAAGTCTCGATTTCTTCTGGTTTGCAAATCCCTTGCCTCTGACTCATACTTACTATTCCTGGATCCCAGCCTGCATTTCCAAAGGAACTATAGCTGCCACAATAGCTGTGGTCTGGAAAAGCTTCTTTAGCAGGACTGCCAGGCCCCACAGAAAGAATAACTACTGGTTTCGTAAGATCGAGTTCCATTACATAAAGCAATGAAGCTCTTTGGGACACTCAGACAATTAAGGAGGCAACGTGTTCTGATATTTCTGCAATCTGTGGAGGTGGGTGCCTGTAATCTCTACTCCTCGGCAAGACTGAGGAAGGAGAATGACCTCAGGGGGATCAGATGGAATCTATTGTGAACATCTGTGTCAAGTCCAGTACCACCATGATGGTGGACTGGGGTAGGTATTGAAAAACCCAGCCCAAAAGCTACTGTAACTTTTTTTTTTTTTTTTTTTTT